ACCAGGTATTTTACAGATAAATATCTGCTCAGTAAATTTAATAAAGCATTTAAGTAGAAGAAAGGACTCCTGGTTACACAGGAACTATTTCTTCATTTGCCTCACTGATGGTCTTATCTCTGTTTCAGACTTATCCCTCCTCCAGTTCAGGGAGATTAACAAACAAGAAGCTGTACTTGAAACATTTAATCTAGTAAGCATTCAGGAACCTCAATACAAGAAAAGGCCAATGCAATGATTAAAAAAAAAAAGAGCAGCAAATTCTAACAGTTTTTATGCTTGAACATTAGATGTTTTACATTTTTCAGCTACCAGCTACTCATTGGTGTTGCTAAGCAGGAAGTTTTTCCTAAGTCTGCTTATACTCAAATTTAATATAAAATTCATTTCAATTCAGTGTTTTCTCTCTTCAGAGCACAATGAAACACAGTCAAAGTTTCAGTCCATCTTTCATACTCTAAAGATAAACAACCTTGAGACATACAACAGTAAGGCTCACAAACATACTTTTGTTAGCAAACAGCTTAAGCAGCCCACCAGAACTACCTGCTCACTCAGTAAGCAACAAAGAGCTTCAAAAAAAAAAAAAGGCACTTTATGTAGCAGTAGACTCAAGTTCATCAAGATGACTGCTTAGTAAAGGAAATAATTTCCTCTCTCAATTTTATTCACATTATTATGTGTCAGTTCAAGAACCTAGTTCTCAAAAACATTTTTTATCTGGTAACAACAGCTTGTCAAGGAACTTCTGCTTCAGTTCTGGTAACTGACCAGGAAAGTTGCTTCAGAAAATCTCAGAGTAAGCGGACAAAAATCTGAACTTCTCAGTGAAATGGGATATTTTGTCTCATAAAAGTCCATCTTCCCCTACTCTCAATCAAGTGTTTAGATATAAAACTTCCACAAGAGCTGAACAAAATTAAAGGACAGGTGAAAAGTCACTTAAAACTAAAGATCACTAAGTTTTGTTCATATAAATTCAAATGAAAAATGGGATTAACTTCCAGAATGCAAGAAAATGTTTTTCAGATCCTATCAATGTTATTAGGAAGCAGTACATTATTCCTACAAAGTTGTATATAAATTATAGGATATAGCACTAACCACTCAATTTGGAAAATACAGAAACAAGACATTTGGAATCACATTCTTTAAGAAACATTAATGATAACCAAACTGAAAACTGGATTTGGACATTTATGTTTAATTACACCAAACACCCATTTATGTGCATACAGCACTTTTCCAAGGCTTCTGGTGATAAGATTCCATGTATTTTAGTAGGAACAGATGCACTTCCACACCTACAACATTCATCACACAAAGCTGCTACTGTACTATGGAGACAACAGAATATTGCACTGGAAAAAAAAGCTAGTAACTCATGATTTTCTGACAATTAATTATATATTTTTAACTTGAGTCCAAGCTACTGTTACAAGACTGAACTACCTTTTGCTGTTTTCCTTGCCTTGATCATGCTACCTAGTTGCATACTACAAAGAGAATGCTTTTAAATAATGTACTGCTTTAATATATGAAATGGTTTGATGGTTCATTTAGAAGTTGCTTAGGGACATGGTTTAGTGGTTTAAAGGTCTTTTCCAACCTAAACGATTCTATAATTCTATGAAGTGAGGTGCCATAACATTTCCCTCTCCATTTAAAAACAAAAACAACTGCTATTTGTCTTTAATATTGTAAACTTTACAGAATAAAAAGGAGTATGCAAGAAATTGAAAAACTACACTTACTGAAGAAAAACCATCAGATTTGGAACAGTCAAGTCCAGTGTTATTATATTAGGAGAGCAAGACGCAAACTGAACTATTTCTTGTCAGTTCAGCATATACAGAAAGAATTTTATTTTCACTTCCTACTTGTAGGCATACTTTTCTTCAGTTTATATAACATTCCAGAACACATGACTCACTCACTTTTAGCAATGAGCAGAAAGATAAATACAATAAAACAATGAAAAAAGCCTTCATTACCCCTATCTGATACTAACTCTAAGTAAATTCTGAAAAAATTGGGTAGTGGAATTATCCAAGAAACCTCTCATTCTACTCCTTTAAATGTCAAGACAGAGATCTGGTACAATCTTTTTGTTAAAGAACCATCAAATTCTTGCAAAGCATGGAAGTTTGAGGGAAATGCTGTGGACATTGTCTAGCTGGACTTTAGTAAGGCTTTTGACACTGTCTCCCACAGCATTCTCCTGGAGAAACTGGCTGCTCGTGGCTTGGACAGGGACGCTCTGCGCTGGGTAAAAAACAGGCTGGACGGCCGGGCCCAAGGAGTTGTGGCGAATGGGGTTAAATCCAGTTGGCAGCTGATCACAAGTGGTGTTCCCAGGGCTCAGTATTTGGGCCAGTTCTGTTTAATCTCTTTATCAATCATCTGGATGAGGGGATTGAGTGCACCCTCAGGAAGTGTGCAGATGACACCAAGCTGGGTGGAGGTGTCCATCTGCTGGAGGGTAGGAAGGCTCTACGGAGGGACCTGGACAGGCTGGATTGCTGGGCCGAGGCCAACTGTATGAGGTTCAACAACGCTCAGCGCTAGGTCCTGCACTCTGGTCACAACAACCCCAGGCAATGCTACAGGCTTGGGGAAGAGAGGCTGGGGGGGGGGCCGGGGGGAAAAGGGGCGG